AGGTTACCTGAGCCAGCCAGCAGGCAAGCCGATGGCCTCGATCTTGAAGGGTGTGACCGTCGTTATAGCGGTCAGTGGGACGGTCGACAGGGGAAAGAACATCCCTGAGGTAATGCGAGAACCTGAGACCGTCGAGCGTGGTAATTGAGAGGGCGGTCTCCTCGACACGACGACGCTTGCTGATACTTTCATCCCCCTCAGCAAGAGACCGCTTCGGTTGACTCTCCTCGAGCAGAGTCCTCTCGGGAGAGGCAGGGATATGGATGACTGGGGTAATCTGGTCGTGTGGAGGTGAACGCGGCGGAGGAGAAGCCGATTTGTCGAGCTGTGTTGGCTGCTCGGGCTGCTCGGGCCGCTGGCCTGCTGGGAGGTTGGTCGAAGAAGGCTGCTCGACGGTCACTTTCGGGGGCGGCGAGGTCGATCGGGCAGACAAGGAGGCGGTCGAGTCAGCAGGTTTCGAGCTTGACCTCTCGCCAAGGTGCTTCCTCTTCAAAGGAGCACTCCTCTTAGGCACAGAGATAGTAGGCATCTCTGTTAGGAACCACGAACAAGTTAGAGCCACAACAGGTAAATCATATCTGGAATAATGGCACTGTAAGGCTCAGGTGCATTCAATAAAATTAAAAATACCTGGATCGTCTGTAATTTGAATGAGATCGAGAATTTTTTGAGAGGGCGGAAGAAGTGAATTATGGGTAAGGAGGCCGCAGAAATGCAAGAGGTTGTCATCGTCGAGCAGAATTTTCGACGCAACGGGCTTCGTGTTCCACACAGCGATCCGTTGGTCGAAAAGGGCGCTCTGAGAAGGCGCCACATAATCGCGCTTAAGCTCCTTGAGCCACGGAGTTGGCTCCCAAGGGAAAGCAGGGTCAGATTCAACAAAGACAAATTTATCTTTCCACCTAGAGACATTCGAGGGGGTGTCCGAAATGAAGTGGACATCAGCACGGCTTTTGAGGTAAAGTCCCTGTGCGTGTTTCGAAGGGGTGTAGCAATAGTGAAAGAAGTCAAGGTCGAGCCGACCTAGGCGGACATGACAAAGGATGATGAAGATGGTAATGAACCGGATGGCGTTAGGAGGAAGTTGGTTCAAAGGCAGTTCGAACCATTGGCAGATGTTGAGCAAATCTTGGCATAGAGGAAAGCGGATACCAAGTTTAAAATGAACCTCGAAAAAAGTATAACAACCCTTAGGGGGGCAGGTATACGTATCCTTGGGACCAGGGGACACGAAAGCCCATTTTGTTGGATGACCAACCTCATTGGTGTCCAGCCAACCAGCGACGAGGGAGCGAGAAGGGGTCTGGTTAGGGAAGGAGGCTTTGACTAGCTTTCTCTTCTTGGTCGGCTTAGAAGGCGCGGTAGTAGGACCGGAGCGGATTTGCGAAGCAGGAGAGCTCGAGGGGGCATTTCGTTTCGACATACTCGAGGAGACAACGTGGGAAAAAATGGAGTACTGGGAGAGGGGGACATCATCTTCCCTCTCCATGGCTGCCTCAGCAACGTCGAGAGCTGCCTCAGCGGCGCTAGAGGCCCCGAACGCTGGCCGACGACGGCTAAGGGGGACATGGTCGAGTGCATCCTCGTCTGATCCTTCAATCGAACGAGTAGGTTGGCGAGGAGAAGAAGGTATAGTGTAATCGGGAGGAGGTAGAACACTTATAGGAGTGGGATTGTAGATTTCTTCGACGGATCGGGAAGGCGAGTGAGGAATAGGCTGAGGAGTGAGGAAGGATGATGTGGCGATCTCATCTTCGACAGAGTGATGGCTGGGTGCGTTAGAATGAACGGAATCTAAAAAGTAGAACGAAAAAGTGAGAAGAAGAGAAAAGGAGTTAGGGTTTTTGAAAGCAAAGAAGAAGGTTTACGCCGCAGGCTAGACGAGAAGGATTTGGGTAAAAGCAGAAGCAACAGGGAAAATCGAAAAATTGGCAAAATAAATGCACGCAAATATAAAATTAAAACATAGAAGACTTACTCATGGTTGCAATGAAGAGTGGTCGCCGAGAAAAGCTTGAAGCTGAAGGAGCGAAAACGCCGAAGAGTAGGGGAGTGCAGTTTGCAGAGGGAAAAATTAGGGCACAAGTGTGTAAAAGATGGCAAAGGTGAGAAAAGCTGAAAAGTTAGCTAAGTACCGTATTTATAGGGGTACAGATAAATAAGGTGAAGAGTTAGGGGAGATGACCGTTAGATAAAAGAAGATCCAACGGTAGGAAAAATTAAAAAGGTACAGATAACGAAGCGGTACAAATCGCGAGGAGATGCGATGATTAAAGGAACTGAGCGGAAAGGTCACATGCCAGGCGGAAACTACACTAGTAATAAAAGGGAATAAGAGACAATTTAAGGCGTATCATAAAATCGATCGCGCGGTCGAAGAAGGGTGGCGGCCTCGACAGAAGAGATGAGCAGAGGAGATCAGATGTAAGCAGGAGATCGAGAGGATGACAGAACGAAGAAGACAACTCGAATCCACTCTTAGATCGAGTCATTCAGACTCGACCAGAGTGGGGGGGGACCAGATGATATGGGATATTATATAATTGAGAAATAGACCGGTTTGCATCATCGGTCAAGAAACCTCGAAGTGGAGAAAACAGGATTGGTAGAAAGATGATCGACAAAAAAGAAGGAGATCGAGCAGAATAGCAGTACTGGTCGAGGATCGACCAAAAGGAAGAAGATCGAGCAGAATAGCAGAACTGGTTGAGGATCGACCAGAAGGGAGGAGATCGAGCAGAATAGCAGAACTGATCGAGGATCGACCAAAGGGGAGGAGATCGAGCACTCAACAGGTGAAGAGCAGTCTAGAGCGTGGATGACGTTGGAAGATCCCAACGGCCTGCGCAGAGGAATAATCTCCCTCAGCTTAGAGGGGCACGTGGCGAGAATATATTGGTGCAGAGTGATAGTGGAAAAAGCCACCCCTGACATCTCTGACACACACACACTATGTGTGTACGGACGGGCAGTACGGGCAGGACAACTCACCAAAGCCGGGCAGTTTTTAGGGCAGGTATCTCACTCCTATATATATGGGAGTGGGTCTTTTCTTGTGACTTACGATTTATCCATTTTTTACTTTGGAAAATTGAACAAACACATACTGACTTAAGCATCGGAGGCTCTTCACAGGAAAACACCTCCGGTGTGAGAGTTCTGTGCAGGAACGCGGCGTTCTACCGGCGAGAAAGAAGGAGACAAGCTGATTTCAAGCCGGTCGAAGTGTTTTGCGTTACCACCACTGAATGGCAAGATGATCCTAAAAGAAAGGTTAGTGGTTTTAGAAAACATGCAGCCAGAGAGCTTAGACTGCATATCTCCAACCAACAAGCATATAGATGCAAGTTGAAAGCTATTGCAGATCAGAAGGGAGAACCCCATTTTCAGTATGCATTGTTGTGGGACTACTGTGAGGAAATAAGAAAAACAAATCCGGGGAGTACTGTAGTCTTAGATACTAACCAGTGCAATGGTGGCAACATATTTCAGAGGTTCTACATATGTCTAAATGCACTAAAACAATGATTTAAGGCTGGCTGTAGACCCTTGGTAGGTGTGGATGGTTGCCATTTAAAAGGGCCTAATAAAGGTATATTACTTATTGTTGTGGGCATTGATCCTAATAATGCTCTTTTTCCCTTGGCATATGCAGTTGTTAATGTCGAGAATACAGATAACTGGGAATGGTTTTTGATATTTCTTAAGAATGATTTGGAAATCAAGAATCAGCATGAGTGGACATTTATGTCTGATAAACAGAAAGGCTTAATACAAGCATTCCAGAACATTTTACCTAACTGTGATCATCGATTTTGTGTTAGACATTTGCTTGGGAATTTCAGAAATGCAGGGTTCAGAGGATTAGCATTGAAAAATGCTATGTGGAGGTGTGCCACAGCCACAACAATAAATGATTTTAGCAGGAAAATGCAATATCTGAAGGATTTGGATGAGGAAGCATACAAGTGGTTGGCTGGTAAACCACCCACTGAATGGAGTAGGTCTCATTTCAGTGAATTCCCAAGGTGTGATATCCTACTCAATAATGGATGTGAGACCTTCAACTGTAACATTCTTGAGGCCAGGGAGGAACCAATTTTGAATATGCTGAAATGGATCATGAAGTACTTAATGAAAAGAATGCAAGAAAATAGGGACAAGGCTGCAAATAAGTGGAAATTTCCCTTGTGCCCTAAGATTAAGCAGATCATTGATAAACAAATTGATAACTTGGTGGAATGTATTCCGCTGAAAGCTGATGACTTCAATTTCCAGGTTGACTGTGGCAATGGAGAGCAGTATAAAGTTGATATGAGGGCACACACTTGTGGGTGTAGAAAGTGGCAACTAAGTGGAATTCCTTGCCTTCATGCACTAAGTGTTGTGCACCTGCAAGGTTGGGCAGTTGAAGAATTCACTCACTCTTGCTACAAGGTTGACACTTACAAAAGAGTATGAACCAGTAGTCATGCCTATCAATGGTAGGAAAGAGTGGGCTCCTACTTGTTTCATACCACCTTTGCCCCCTAATGAAGGTAGGACACCTGGCAGGCCAAGTATGGCTAGAACAAGGGAGCCAGATGAGCCCAAAACTAGAAAAAGGCCAAGAGGGAAGGTAAGGGTTGTGACCAAAGAGCAAACTATCAGAAGGCAACAAGTGACCTGTAAGTGCTCATATTGCCATGTGGAAGGCCACGACAAGAAGGGGTGTCCATTATTGAAGGCTGTAAACCCAAACTCAAGTCAGAGTGTGAATAACTCAAAGGTACTATGTACTATGTACTCAGTTAATGTTCAATTTATGGATAGCTAATCAGTTGTACTTCTTACTTATTTAATCCAAATTATACAGGAGGTAAGAAGAGAGGACAAAAGGTGTACCTGCTCCAGCAATTGGTATATCAAATTAAGAAGCCTCACAGGTACTGTGTGCATTTAATGTGATAGCTAATAAGTTGCACTTCTCACTTATTTGACATTTGTAAATAAATTTACAGGTAACAAGAGAGGACAAAGGGGAACCTGCTCTAGCAATTGGAATATCAACTAAAGAAGCCTCACAGGTACTATGTATTCAGTTGATGTTCAATTATGCATTTAATTTAAAAGCTAATCAATTATGCATCAAGGGTGAGTTGTATGTATTGATTTATGAATTTTGAATCCATGTATACAGGTGAAATTTACAAGACCAACCTTGAGTAATGTCAAGCATGCAAATAACCCTCAGAACCCAATCTTGAAACAATACAAGCAACCACCTACGGTTTTTCAACAATTCCAACAGACAATGCCAAGTAAAGGTGTCAACTTTAGAGGACCAGCACCTATTGTTGGTAACCATTTCATCCCTAGTCAAGAGAGCTGCATATCAGGGAGAGAAACAAGGATGAAAGAAATATTTGCAGAAGCTGGCCAGAAGTATACTTCCATAAGCAGCTTAGTGGGTTGCATGAATTCAGTAAAAGACAATGTCAAGAAGAAAGGCAATGGTCCAAAGTGAATGTAGTTACTCTTTTGTTTGTTATGATGGCTGAATTTGTTGATCTGGATGACTTGATTTGGTGGTAGATAACTTTTGTTATTTTTGGCGGTTGAACAATTTTTAGAACTAATTTTGGTGTTTTTGGTGCACTTTAGTAGTTGGAGTTGTTGAACATGATTAGCTTTGTTTTGGTGCTTTTGGTCTAGTGCATTAGTGGAAACAGGATATGGATGTTATTTTGTTGCTTTTGTTTGTGGAATTTCAATGGAATTTGTTTATTTTACTTTTGGTGTACTTCATATGTTTTGTGGTAATTGATAGGTTTTAACTGTAAAAAACAAATCAATGGAACTCAAGCTCACTATAATTCATAATCAGATTTAGATTAACACCAGATAAGCCAAAACAATATAGCATAGCATAACAAATGCACTACAGATTTTCACAATCTCATTACAACAACAACAATGAAACAGATCAAATTCAGAATCAGATTTAGAACATGATTAACATCAGATAAGCCAAAACACAAAACAACTGAGTTTCACAATCTCATTACTACAACACCAATAAAAGCGATAAACCAAGTGATAACTACAATAAATTTCAGACATCTTAATTTCTTCATAGTAGATGATAAATGAGCATTGTTCACTTTCTTCAAGGACTGCAACTCTGCTTCAAGAACCACAAGCTTCCTCTGAAGCTCCACCATCTTCCTCTGAAGCTCCGCCATTGATGTTTTTTGCTCTTCAGTCAGAGAAAACTTCCGCTCCAATTCCAAGATTGAATCCGACGAAACTTGCGATTGGGTGGTTGGTTGATTTTCACACCATTTGAAGAATGTGCAACCACCATTATTCCAGTTCTTACAGCCGTGGAACTTCTTCCCAGGATTTGAGAACATCTTCGAAGTGCGGATTGTAGTTCTTTCAAGGAATTTGCAGTACACGATGGGTTGAGAAGATTGTGAGTGAGAAGAAGAAGACATTATCGTCGAAATTGAGTGAGAAGAAGAGAGAATTAGGGTTACGGGGAGAGAGAAGATGATGGAAAAGAGGGGAAATTCCATATATATGCCACATATATGCCATGTCGTTCCGATCCGTCTTCCAGCGTGGAAAAAAAGTCCACGTCGTTCCGATTAGTGTCCACGTCATCTCGTAATCCCGGCCCTCGGTATTAATGTACCAATTCTGATGAAAATGGTAACATAATGGACCAATTTTGATGCGTGGAAAGATAGTGGACAAGTTAAAGGACCAAAATTGGATTTTTGCCATCTACCCACCATAAAAGGAATTCCGACCTCGGAATTCAAAAAACAAAACAAAGCAAAAACAAACCACTAGAATACAACGAATACAAATCCTCTAAAACGAGAAGGTCGGGAATCTCTCCCCTAATCTCAGCCTCCTTCTCTCAAGTCATCTTGGACTTGTCATGTCATCTCCACTGAACCTTCTCAAAGCTCCCTGCCCGGTTCCTCAGCTGATGGACACTCGGGTCCAAAACGGTCACCGGTACCTCCTCATAGGTAAGGTCTAGCTTGACCTGCAGTTCACCGAAGTCCACCACGTGGTCCGGGTCATGCACATATCTACGCAACATCGAGACATGAAACACACCATGCAGCCTGACAAATCCGGTGGTAAAGCTAGCCGATAAGCCAAGTCATCGACTCGAGTAAGGATCTCAAAGGACTAACTGCATACGATAGCGGATCCTCATTTTCCCCAAACCAAGGTATACCACACCTCTAGTCATACGAAAGGGGAAAACTCGAATGATATCATCCAGATACTCGCTCGATACACAAAAAGAAACACAAAACGGCCCATCCATGGTGAGAAGTCGCAACATGCACACACGACCTCAATAGGTCTCATAGTGCCTCGACCGTGAGATCATCGGTCAAATAATCGTGGTCGACACGTGGAGTTGAGTTTCAGCATGGTGCCCGGGTCACACCGAAAACTTACCCACAATCTCGACACACCCGTGACTACTTGCCGAAGCGATAGTCACGATCACTGTGCAACCATGCATACAGTATAGCCCCGTTATACTCATACTTACAACACACAATTCTACGACACAAACGTAGCCCTCCGTGGCTCTGTTTGCTGGCAACACACATCCCCTATCTCGCCATCTCGAGAAATCCTCGCAGATGCATAGGAAAGCTATCGATTACGCTTTCTTATCAAAACCATCGATCAAGGATGCACACGCGGTTCGGTGGAACTTGGAACTCTTGGTAGTCAAACCATCGAAAAGAAAAATAAAATGGACGATTGAATTTTTAATGCACTGTCCTCCGAGAGGCGACACGCTCGCAGGCGCTGCATATGCGGCGTGCCAGGACGCTTACGTGCACCTGTTCAGAGACCAGCTGCAAGGTCAAGGTTTGGCCGATCACGCTGGCGTGGGAGTTCCGTGTGTGCGGTGATGGTAGCTGTAGCTTGCGTGTGAGTCAACGATCGGCCGCGCGCAAGCCTATCGTCTATCAGCACGGGCGTACACACTTGACCACCACTTCGTGGCAACACCCAGTCAGGGTCGGCTTTCGGTTCAAGGTTTTAACAAGAAATTTTTAATCCATGGTTTTTCTCAATGCGAAAAAATTTTCTGACTTGGGATTCCACATAGGCTAAGACAATAGCAAAAGAAGAGTTTTCCACAAAATGGGTACAAATGGGGTTCAATCTAAACAATTTTTTTTTTTTTTTTCACGAATTCAAAAGTTTCAAGGTCTCAGAAATAACAAGGTATAAAACCGAGTTCCAAGTCCACTACCTTATTCCAACAACATACTCTAACACTCAACAAGACCCAACGCTAGAGATAGGCAAAAATCTTCAAGGGAAAATCTAATTCGGCTCTCCGAGACACCCACTAGCGAGCTCACTTCGGCTCTTCTGATTAACAGCGTCAGCCATCACGTCAGCTCTTCTTCTGGTAGCTAATCGTGCCAGCAGTCCTGAACGAGCTCCACTCATCTGCATTACCTAGAGTTCACACCTCAAGGTCTAGGTGAGAGGTTTCTTTATCGAAAGGACCTCAATCACGTCTTCGGGTGTTTCAGCTACGTCTCGGCGTTCTAAGAGATAGACTATGACGTCGCTGCAGAATTATAACCAGACATTTCGTCGCAGTCGCCATTGCGGCAGTTACACAAAAGAATCACTATTCGATTATAGATATTCTCGTCGGGTTCCAGAGTCCGTTTTGATACGTTGACTTCTCGATCTTCGGCTGACGGTACCTCGGCCTTGAATCGGTTTTCAATGATTTTTCAGTTGTCCTTAGTTGATTGAACATGTCTTCACCTTGTGATAGTGGTTGATTACCCTTCGTCATCCGTCGGTTGGGTTTTCGGTTGTCGATATGCAACATTCCTTGTCATGAAGAAGATCAGCTCCTCCGGCGTTCAGGTTGGTTGTAACTCGTCTTGCTCGTCTGGTTGCCTTCCTTGCTGCTCCTTTGGACTATTCCTTGATGCCCCCGAATGATTGGTGAGTCTCAGAATGGATTGAGTAGCCGTTAATAAAGATGAAAACAAATTGGTCCGGATGAATAGAATGCTCAAACACAACTAAAAGAATTATATAAGACAAGTAAAAAGCTGGAAATACCAGTCTTAATTGGTACATCAGGTCGTAAAACTTGATCTGGAAAATCCAAGCGAACATGAAAACAAAGATAAAGGTTTTCAAAGGTTTTGCAAAAGTTCAAGGAAGTGAAAGATTTCTCCCGAAGGCCAAAACGAAATAAAAGAATGAAATTTTGTCAAAGTTTACAATGAAACGCAAGTTCGAGAATACAAGGGGCTCTACGCTTCACAATGCACATGCTCCAGGCTCGACTACCCTCCTTAAAAGATCCTTCACTTTAAGGTAAGACACCTTCCTGGAATTAGTCGACGACTCCCGACCGGAGAAAACTGTTTTCGATGCGTCATACAATTTAACCACAACGAGATGAATGATCGTCGTTGGCCTCCAGGTCAAGATACCATAGTGGCTTGCGCCAACCTTTGCTTTCTCGAGTGCACAGACTCGGAGTTATCGCAAACAAAAATCACAAACTTTGCGACAATTAAGGTTTAGCATAAAACAAATATGCTTATCCTTATTCGTACACAAAGTTTAGTTCCAAGTTTCAAATAGAAAAATTGCACAACAGTTTGAAAGATAAAACACGGAAAATGAAAAGATTAATTGACATCACACGATCTCGATTTCCCGGTCAGTTGTCCACTCTTTGATCAGTTCACTCTCGTGAGGGTTCAACCACATTCGTCCACCGTTGATCCTATCTGGTGTAGATCACCAATCTCCTTCATTCGCACTTGAAATGAAACGACAAGATCCTCTTCTGGCCTCAATGCCAGTAGTCGGCATAGCGAACGATAACAGAATAGTCGAGTTAGGACTCTGCATATATAGTACGCTAGATCCACTTGAGTTTATGGAGTCATTCCGTCAAACTGTCAGCCTTCGCGGTCAACGTTCATAATTCACGCAATAAAAAGTAGCCATCGCTTTCCTTGAGATTTCTCCATCTTCGAGAATCACTTTAATAATACCTAATCGATCATTAAAACTCTTGGCTTTGAATGACAACACATTTGAAGCACTAAGTTTGAATCCTCACACTACAATGATTGGATTCCACCATGCCTCCTCTGGTCCACTTGTCAACTGCCCCAGACGTTCGAAGAATCCAGCACATTTGGGACCTCTCGGTTGTCTAATCTCGACGAGGCATCCTGACGTTGGTCACCAGAAAATTTATGGTGCATAAACGCAAATCTCCTCTATCGACGAGATAGCTCGCACAAGGTGCTAACTCGAAACTTATAGAGAGAAAATTTCTAGGGTCATCACCAAACACTAGAATTCAAATTATAGCAAAGGTGGATAGTCCTAAGCGCCATATAAAATAAATAAAACAACAAAACTCATACCTCGAGCTGGCGCGGCGAGACGAAAGCAAGTGGTCGAAGGGTCATTAAATACGCCAACATTAGAGATAGTCTACAGAAACGCAGACTAGCTCTGATACCACACTGTAACGCCCCGTTTTATTTCAAAGGATTTACCGAATTTATTTATAAAAATCAGAGTTTATTTTTCGCGAAATTCCAATTTGTAACTTTAATATTTAACGGGCCCTACTTAAACAACTAAAACCAATAAACATTTACACAGGTACAATCCAACAGTTCAAAACAAAATCCAATTTATTCATAATCCTCAAACCCAGTCATGCATAATAAAATTTTCCAACATGTTCGAAATAAATAAGGCAGAAGCATAAATCTTCAAAGTTAAAACAAATGGTCTATCCAGATAATAGAAAGAAAAGCGGAAGCAAGTAACACACAATCCAGCGACCACCACTCAATCTTCTCTCGCTGCTGCCGCCAACCATGCTCAACCTAAAAGGATAGAAAAAGGAACAAGAGGACAGAAAAAGTAAATGGGGGTGAGTACAACCATCATACTCACCATTACCGCACAGTATATTTCGCATAAAGATCCATAACCATAAATAATGTATGCATAGGATCCAGATCTAACTCCTTATTAGGCCCTATGGCAAACCTCCTATATACATACAACAAACCTCCCGACTAGACATCGGCGAGGATGTAACTGGAAGCACTCCCACCCCGGATGCAACGAGCATAGGATATTATCCAGGAGACGGTGAAGTTGAATTACCCTTCCGCTCTACACGGATTCGGGCGTTCAGACAATCCCCTCCGCTTTACACGGATCTGGGCGTCCACCTCCCAGATGCAACGGGCAGGTGACTTCCACTGATTATGCATTCGTCAAAGGCACTACCATCGGGACACTTAGACTAGGGTTCTCACCCATACAAAAGCTATCGCGACAAACATTTATACGAAATAACAAGTGCGATAAATGTAGATTCGACATAAATAAACCCACCTGGTAGCGATCGGAATAAACACAAAATAAGGGTAGGCGGCGAGGTCGACTCGTCAAACACCTACATTTAGTAAAATAGCCTTATCAAAGAATATTCTATAATTTCTAAGCCCAAGTAAGTTCATATAATCATTTAAGAACGCATTAAAACAAGGGAAAACATATTTTCGAAAATATCACATGAGTTTTGAAAATTAGACCCGGCAGCGTTTTTAAAATTGATATAACTTTCAGCATATAACTCATATGAACATGAATTAAGTTGCATTGGAATCCTAAGATATGAATATACAATTCTTGTGAAGATACTGAAAGCAAATAAGGTCATTTAATAGGTGATAAATCAACAAACATTAAAAGTTGAGCCACAGTCCAAAACTGGGAAAATAAACTTGGCCAGACTTCAGTAATTACCATATAACTAGAGCTACAGGCATGCCATTAATGAAATTCAAAAACCAAATGATAGGCAACTCCAATGTCTACAACGTTTCTGAAGATCATATTGGCAAATAATCACATTATCAATGAGTTTAAACACAAAACATGTGATTCAGTAAACCTGTCAGGATCTAATATATAACATGGACAGCACTTCAGTTTCTAACTCTTATCTTGAGCTACAGACCTCTAAATGATATGGTTCAAATTTCAAATTAAACCTTAAGAATGCCTAAAGAGTGTAAGTTCATACGAGTACATTATAACATAAAAAACAGATCAACCATTAACTACATATATGCTGCCGGGTACAGGAAAACTGGACGTACAACAAATCTTGTAAAAATCATAACTTTTTCGATATAGATCGAAATCGAGAAATTCCAAAGTCCAGATATAGAAAACTAGATATAATACATATTTCATGAAGGTCACGACTTCAAATATTCAGTTTATTATGGCTCAAAACGTAGCACAACAGAACAGTGAAAACAACATGATTTCACAAAAAATGATATCTTATGTATTTTGAATATTCGAGTCGGACATAGCATTATCAACACATTTTTAATTTACGAATATCACGTATAATCATAAAATTAAGGAGTTTAGTAAAATGGATTTACCAAACACCTAAGGGGAGGGTAGTCGAGGTTCGGTGCCTGAAAAATGGAGCTCGGAGATGACAAATCCTACGGGCGGGGACGATCGTCCGCTTGACTCGCTCGACGAAGGTGATGACCGAAAATGGCTCATGCTCGCGGGACAGAGGCGTAAGGTGGTCGGGAGTTGCGGTTGATGGCCGGGAGTCGCTGCCGGTGGAGGACGGTGAGGGCTCGTGGCAGCAGCTGCTGCGAGCGGGTGGAGGAGCGCGAGGAGATGGATTTCTCCGTCGTCACGTGGTGCTGCGGAAATGAGCGGCGTGTTGGTGACGAGCGGAGGAGGGCAGGGCTGGAGTTTTCCGGTGAGGACAAGAGAATTGAAAGAAAAGAAAGTAGAGAGAAAGAGAGAGGGAGAGTGACGTGAGTTTTGGAATGAGAGGGATTGAAAGAGAGAGATGAGAGTGAGGAGAAATGAGGGGTCAACCTTCTTAAATCACAACTTTAAGACTTTGTAACTCCCATTTTCAAATATCTACAACAGGGGGTTTCGGTTGGCACAAAATATGGGATAGTGATCAACCTTTGAATTTCAAAAATTCAAATTGAAATCCATGCATGCATGAGGAGAGATGGGCGATGGGTTGGGGCCGGTTTTGGGAGGAGAAAAGGGGCCGGTTCGGCTCGGTCCGGTTCGATAAATTCACACGTATATTCGCTCGGTTCGAAGTCTCGTTTATTTAATATTTTCGGTTCGACCGAAAGTAAAATAAATAATATGATTCGGCTCGATATTAAAATTAATACAATTTAGCAATTACGAGCATATAATTGAAATAAAATTATCGAGCCCGAATAACTAATTTGAAAAATAAAATAAATGCCAAATAATAATATTCAATTATTCCAGAACAAATGGGCTAGAGAAAAAGATCCCAAAATGGCTATGGAAAAATAATCGAAATCGGCCGGTTCTCTCGGGCTTGACTCGAAAATTATTCGAGGCTCGGTTCGACGTGGCGAAAATTAAATCCTGTTAATACATAATACACATAATACTTATTTAATAATAATAATAATAATAATAATACAGATACATATTTAGGCAATTAAATACACACATTATTTATTTATCTATAACAACAAACAATTAAAGCAATTACGAGCACAGATAAAACAAATAAATTTATTCGGACAAATAAAAATAAAAAAAATATAAATAATAACTTTCAAAATAATCCGGAACAAATGGGGCGCTACATAAAAAATATTAATTTATATCAAAGCCTAACTCCAAAGCATGATTTTTTGCAAAATAGGATTCCAAAGCATGAGAGTTTGCAATTGCCAAACTTGAACGATAAGCAGTGGAGAAAAATCTCTCGGTCCCGTCTCCCCCAAATCTCTCGGCCTCCATCTCCTCTCGCAGATAATCTCCCTCAGCCGGCGTCCGTAATCGTCGGTGGACGATCTCCTCCGCTTATCCATGGCCGCGGCCCTCCCGTCCTCTGTCTTGTCGCCACTGAATTAGGGCTAGGGTTCCGGCAGAATCTTTTTTCCGTTCGATAACCGCCGTAATTAAGTGGTTCGGGGCATGGCGTGGTGTGGTCGGGTGTGGATGATGCTTGTGTCGCCTCAATCGGCTTTGGTCGGGGCGCCTTTTGTCGGCCTGTTTTGGAGGGTTGCCGTTGGTGGTCTTCCGATTTCCGCAGGGGTCAGGTCGCTGGCTCCTCGTGTGTGCGAGAATGGCGGGTCGGGACTATTCCTAGCGTGTCGGGTTGATTGGAGGTGTTTCGTTTGGGCTTGGTTGGTGCGGTCGAGCAGAGAAGCCGTGGTCCCCTTTCTTCCCTTGCTCGATTTCCGAGTTTTGGGGAGGCCGACGGTCGCCGGAGTAGGCTAGTGGTGTTAGGCTGCCTTGGCTGGACGTCGGATCGGCTAGTGGTGTTAGCCGGTGGGGTGGTGTTCGTGGTTTTTTGCGGCTGGAGTGCTGGTCGTGTTCTCGGTTTGTTTTTGCGGCTTCGGTCATCGTCTTGCTAGGCCTTATGCAGTGGTGGGCGTGATACCGGAACCTCGGAGCTCTCCTCGGAATCAACTTTGTCTGCTGTCCTTTTCGGATGTACCTGCTGTGGGAGGCTGTTATGTTTGTGTGTAGTTGCTTTAGTTATTGTGTTTTCGTTTATTTGTTTTTGTTTAGTCGTTTGTGTTGGTGTTTATGTTATTTGTTGTGTTTTATGTTTGGGCTGTTGGCCTCAGTTAGCCCGGGTGTAACTTTATTATCCTGTTGGGATCGTACACTCGGGGATTACCCTGTTGGGGCCGTTCGTAGTTTTTTAGTGTTTCAGTTTTGTTGTGTTGTTGGAGTTTTTAGGTTACCCTGTTGGGGTCGGTTCTAGGCAGTCTTTAGGCTGTCCTCCCAGTTTTTCAGCTGTTGGCTGGTTGTATTCAGCCGTTGGCTGTATGTATTCAGCTAGGGGTTGTAATTTCACACATTTGTGCCTTTTATATATAGTATCTCTATCGTTCCGACAAAGCATGAGAGTTTGCCACGTAGGCTCAGCGCATTCTGAAATTATATATAGAGGGGATTTACAATTCAATGGTTGTAATAAGAAATGATATTAAAATGCAATTAATACATGTAATATGACCATAAATAATCAACCTATTGATGGATAATCTGAATCTAATTATTTTTAGTTTGGAAGTAAATTAAAATCTACTCAAGCCTAATAACGAAGCATGTAATTTTGCCGCATAGGATCCTGAAGCATGCGAGCCAACCATTTAGGCTCGACACGTTCTGAATTAACATATAATGGGGATGGGGATTTAGTATAAATTACATGAATAGAATAGTCAATAATATTTATGTGTGTTACATTTGCGAAGTAAAATCTTATCATACTTTATAGTCATTTATTTATAGGAATGAATCTCGTTTAACAAAAACTTGTGAATTATTCACTGCTCTTATACGTATGACAAATGTTTATTTTAAACCAATTTATTATTTTTGTAAGGGTAAATTATTTTTTTCATTCGAACTATCGTTATTTTTGCGGCTTACCACATCAACTATTTTTTATAACAAATAACCATACAAACTCTACATTTTTTTCATCTTGCCCTTAAACCAGATATAAATTAGTTTTGACCCAAAAAAGGTTATTTTTGAGGGCATTTCAAAAATTTTATATCATTTAAAAAAAAATGAAGAACATGGAACAAGACCATTGCCAACCAACCATTTTTCCATCGCCGCTTCCCTCTCCCCACCTAAGCCGACATCTCGTGCGGTGACAACGCCTCCGTCAGGCTCAAGAGCAGAATCTTCGCCTTCTTCATGGCCGTCTGAAACTTACTCGACTACGCCACCAGGGCCATTGACAACCTCCACCACCACCTCCTGTTTGCGGCAGCGAAAGACGCGTACGACGAGAGTTCAACGCACAACAAGGTGTACTTCATTCTGCACATCATGCTCGTCGTTGGCTCCATGGCGGGCCTCGTCGGGGCCCAAATCGCGGCCTACAAGGTGTGCTTGTTGGACTATTGTGTATAAACTCGGCTTTATGATTACTCCCAATTTCATTTTGAATGAGATGTGTGACTTTAGTCAAGGTAATGTTCGTAGGTTATTTATTTATGCGAACATAGTTACTTTATTTTATATTGTAGATAATATGGTTCGTTGTGTCAAAGAGAAAGATCACATTATCGGTGCCTTGTAAAATATAAATATTTGTTCATGGCCAAGACAGAATTGAACTAATTGTCGTGAAAGACTGTAATGTGATTTTTGAGTTAGTTGATGTTAGAATAATGAATTACATTAGTACATCTCATATGCATTGAATGGACCTACAGAAGGACAAGATTATTTTGTATTGACCAACTAAATAATCTAGACCTGAGTAATCTCTTAACCTGTAAAACAATAAACAAGCATATTTATTTAACACTTACTTATTTAATTTTCTAAGGGTATTACCCATTCTATTAGGTTGACATACTTGGTATTTTTGTAAGGGATGTTGTTTACATGATGTGCCGTTAAATTGCTTATGGTCACCGTGTCTTGGTCACCGGGTTGATGACGTTCCCGAAATGAGTTCAAGAAGGACTATTGTGTTAAACCTAGCCGGTGGATTAATTTCTGACATAATAATAACGAATTGAGTGGTACTATTTTTGGAGTCAAGAATTTGATTAATTATATTGTTAGTAATTAAATTAATCAAAAGACACTATATCCTAAACATGGAGAGGTAAATAGAGATAGTCGGGAGACGAATTAATTGTAATTCAGAGCTTAATGGGGAGAAATCCCGTGCGGTGACAATGCCTCCGTCACGCTCAAGAGCGGAATCTTTGCCTTCTTCATGGTCGTCTGAAACTTACTCGACTGCGCCACCAGGGCCATTGACAACCTCCACCGCCACCTCTTGTTCGCGGCAGCGAATGACGCGTACGACGTGAGTTCAACGCACATCAAGGTGTGCTTCATTCTGCACGTCATGCTTGTCGTTGGCTCCATGGCGGGCCTCGTCGGGGCCCAAGTCGCAGCCTACAAGGTGTGCTTGTTAGAGTATAGTGTAGAACTCGGCTTCATGATTACTCCCAATTTCATTTTGAATGAGATGTGTGACTTTAGTCAAGGTAATGTTCGTAGTTTATTTATTTATGCGAACATAGTTACTTTATTTTATATTGTAGATAATGTGGTTCGATGTGTCAAAGAGAAAGATCACATTTTCGGTGCCTTGTAAAATAAAAATATTTGTTCATGGCTCAGACATAATTGAACTAATTGTCGTGAAATACTGTAATGTGATTTTTGAGTTAGTTGATGTTTGAATAATAAATTACATTGGTACATCTCACATGTATTGAATGGACCTACAGAAGGATAAGATTATTTTGTACTGACCAACTAAATAATCTAGACCTGAGTAATCTCTTAACCTGTAAAACAATAAACAAGCATATTCATTTAACACTTACTTATTTAATTTTTCTAGGGTGATACCCATTCTATTAGGTTAACATACTTGGTATTTTTGGGATCTTGTTTACATGATGTGCCGTTAAAATTGTTTATGGTCACCGTGTCTCAGTCACCGGGTTGATGACGTTCCCGAAATGAGCTCAAGAAGGACTATTGTGTTAAACCTAGCCGGTGGATTAATTTCTGACATAATAATAAAGAATTGAGTGGTTCTATTTTTTGAGTCAAAAATTTGATTAATTATATTGTTAGTAATTAAATTAATCAACAGACACTATATCTTAAACATGGAGAGGTAAATAGAGATAGTCGGGAGACGAACTAATTGTAATTCAGAGCTTAATGAGGAATCCAACACCCGGGGGGTTGATCTAACGTCGAATGGTCTAACGTCGGGGTTACAGTTTTCTCCCATTGAGCTCTGAATTACAGTTAATGGATCGAGTTGTTGCATCCTCAGAGTTTAATGGGGAGAAAACTGTAATTCAGAGCTTAATGGGGAATCAGTAATCCAACGCCCGGGGGCTCTCGGCGTCGGGCCTCTAATGTCTAAGTCAGCACTCGCTAGATAAGAAGTGCAATATGAGAGTATCGTAATGAGTGTAGAGAGAATGAGGTTTTTGGATACCGTAGCCCCCTTTTATAAGGGAAGTGTACCTTAGTGTCCAAGTTGAGCTTAGCTAATTCTATTAAGCCATGTGTCCTAGCCCATGTGTAGGCTTATTCTCCAATATATTCTTTCATATCCATTAAAATTAGTTTAGTAGAATATTCCATATCATCTAGTCGCCCTACTCTGGTCGAGTGAGCATAACTCGATCCAAGAGGGAAATGCATCCTCTGCTTGTTTCCGTCAACCTGCCACTGAGGTTGTAAACCGAACGACCTTCCACTGAGGTTGAAAACCGATGATCTAACATCGGGGTTGAAAACTGTAACGCCCCAATCGAATAATAGAGACATCTTGATTATTTATTTTATTTATGCAGTTAGTTGCATTTGATTATAAGCTCGACCAGTTCTTCGGATTAATTAGATGTCAGGGTCTGTTTAATCATTTGAGTAAGAAATAATTTTTTTAGACATTAGTGTCTATTGAAATTATTCGAATTATTGAATATTCGTTAGCTATTAGATTTTATTCAATTTATTTATTTTAATAGCCGTCAAAGCTGTTTTTAAGTCCGTTTCCTGCTTCGACTATTTTATTTGTTCTCGACTCCTTAGTATTCGAAATAAATTGTTAGCAGTTCATTTCGGCCCTTTTAAGCTCAAATTTCGGCCATTCGGATTAGAGTAATCCCTTGGTGTCTGATTTTTGGCACCAATTTTATTTGATAAGAATCAAATAAATCCTTTTTGCAATTGGTAAGCTTTGTTGGGATTATTTTTCAGCCCTAAGAGCATTCGCTTGTCAGCCCCCACCTCTTTTTTACTTCCTCTGCACTCCCCAACTTTAATTTCTCTTTCCAAATCACTCCCCATATATATACTACTCTTATTATTATTCATTTATTTTGCCTTATTTTCATATAAAAAAAAAAAAGAGAATTGAAGCTCGTCTCTCTCACTTCGTTCTCGCCGTCTCTCTCCCCCAAAATTCATCGCCGAGCGTTGCTCTCTCTCTCAAAATTTCATCACCAATCGTCTGTCTCTCTCTGAATCCGTTCGTCTCTCTCTGAAAATTCCATCGCCGATCGCCTCTCTATCTCTCTCTGAAAATCGCCGGCCAATTCTCTGGGAAAATTCCATGGCGGGCTCAAAAAACCGTCCTCCTCGCCGTTCCACATCCGATAAACCGTCCTCCACATTAAGTAAGGTAAGATTTTGGGGATTTTTTTCAACAATTTTAAATTTTTTCTTCAATTCGGAATTTGAGTTTTTTTTTTTTCAAAATTTTGAAGTTTTTATTGAATTCGAGATTTTTAAAAATTTAGTATTTGGTTGATGCTAATGCACTTCGAATTTGAATTTCATTTTACCAATTACAAATTTCATTAATAAATTAGGGTTCATTATTTTTTTATTTTGGAATCTTTTTGAACTAGGGTTCTTTATGAATTAAGGCTTTGTATGAATATATCATTTTAGATATCGATATATTCTAGCATTTTAGAAATATATGTGCTTTTTTTTAAAGGTGCCTCTTCACAATTTGGTTTTGTTGGATGGTCAATTTAGAAAAAGGAAAATTAAAGCCGTGATATTCTTGTACTGACAGGAAAAAAAAAACTAATATAAATGCTTTGTGGTGCATGTGTTTGTTTTTTAAGGGAGTGGTTAATGTGTTTTTACCAAAAGAAAATTCTCAATTAGTGGACAAAGGGAAATTTGATTTTTAGTGTCTCTGAGGATATTGCCTCTTACTTGATAAATTATGTCAAAAGCAATTGTCCATATATATATATATATATATATATATTATGTTTGCACTCAATCAACTGAATGTTTCATGATCTTTTTTTTTCAGCATTTCTGAGTCTCTATTTCAGTAGTATTCTTCATTGCTTCAACAACGTTTATGCTTCTGAAGCTATGGGGTAAATTCAACCTGTAAATTCAACCAGTTTTCTCTCTGTCCTTTTTCCTTTCAGAAATTTGCGTATGCTCTTCTTTCATATAAACATTCATAAAAGCTCAAAACGAGCAGTTGGTGTATCAAATAATATTTATAAGACTACAACAGAGATTAAGTACAATATTTTTTGGAGAATTAAATGATTTTGTTTTCTTGGTATAAATAAGAATCATTTTTATTCTTTTTTTTTTTATTTTTTTGTTATTTGTTTTAGATAGCTCCTGCAAAAATTTTTTAGTTAGAATTTAGTTATGTGTAGCAATCTTGTCCTATGAATGTGAGTTAATTCTCTTTTCTGTGTTTTTCTCGTGGAAAAATATAGGCGATTTCTCATGTTGTATGATATTGATGGCGCTCGGAATTTCAGCGGATAATTGTAACTTTTCGTGATTAAGCCAAACCATGAGACATATATGAACATGAAAAAAAAAAAAAAAANGTGAGACAAATGTGAATTTGAAAACAATTATTTTACTGAAATATTCTGTTTTGTAGGCTATACATGATGTGGTTGGTTTCTACAAGGAGAACACGTCGACACGTTCAACTCGCTCGGCTTTAAGGTGTACGTAGGCAAAATCGCACCTTACGTGTGGGTTCACTTTCCGGGAAGAAGCTCTTGGGACGTGTTTGGCGAGATCCTTGAGAAGATTCATTTTTTAGTGTCTAGTACCTACTTTGTAGAAAGAGAAAAAAAAAAATAAAAAAAATATTTGAAGGTTGTTATGTTTTTTAAACTAATATCAGTTTCTCTTCGTATTAGTACCAACATTATGAGAAACTAGTACTCATTTTTCAATGTGTAGTATCTACTACTTTGTAGAAAGAAAAAAAAAAGGTATAGGTTTTATGGAAGTTATGTTTTTGAACTGATACAAGTTTTTATCCGTAGTAATACCGAATTTCGGCCTCAAGTGATGTTTATATAACCAATTATCATTCTCACATTAGTTTCTATGAGATTTAAAATGTGTTTAATTAAGTTTAATCGCAAATTGCTCACGAACTCAACACATTAATGAAAAAACACTACTAATACATTTCATCTCATTAAAACACACACTTCATCTCATTGAATGATCATACATTACTACTCCAAATTCTACATATATGTTTTAACTTTCCCTATTTCTCACCAAAATCACGTGTGAACGATCCACGTGGCATGGTAGACGTGGAGGATTACAGAATCACGATTACTAAAATGGTACCAGTTTTGAGAGAAATAGTACCACTTCTTCTTATGCGTAGTACCTGTTTTCAATTAATTAGTACCTATTTTTGGTAAACGAAAATAGACTACATCAATTTTGGTCAACATTTTCAAAAATTAGTACCAGACCTAGAGTAAGATAGTACCAACTTTTGGTGTTTTAGTACTAGATATCGGGTCTTTAGTACCAACTCCGACGAACATTAAAAAACACCGACTTTCGGTCTCAAATTATGTATATATGACCCATTATCACTCTCACATTAGTTTCTATGAGATTTAAAATGTGTTTAATTAAGTTTAGTCGCAAACACTACAAATTTTCATTTTATGGAAACAAATTTGTCATCTCATTGAATGATCATACATGACTACTCCAAATTCTACCTATATGTTTTAACTTTCACTATTTAGCAATCAAATCACGCGTCAACGATCCACGTGACATGGTAGACATGGAGGATTAAAGAAATCACGATTACTAAAACGGTACCAGTTTTGACAGAAATAGTACCGCTTCTTCTTCAGCGTAGTACCTGTTTTTCATCAATTAGTACCAACTTTTGGTCAGGGAAAATGGATTACTTCAATTTCGGTCAACATTTGCAAAAATTGGTATCAGACCAAGAGTAAGATAGTACCAGCTTTTGGTGTTTTAATACTAGATATCGGATCTTTAGTACCAACTCCGACGAACATAAAAAACACCGAATTTCGGTCTCAAATGATGTTTATATGACCCATTATCACTCTCGCATTAGTTTCTATGAGATTTAAAATGTGTTTAATTAAGTTTAATCGCAAATTGGGCATGAACTCAACACACGAATGAAAAAACACTACCAATACATTTCATCTCATTAAAAGACACACTTCATCTCATTTAATGATCAAACATGACTACTCCAAATTCTAATTATATGTTTGAACTTCCACTATTTCTCAACCAAATCACGCATGAACGATCTACGTGACATGGTAGACATGGAGGATTAAAGAAATCATGATTACTAAAACGGTACCAGTTTCGACAGCTATAGTACCGCTTCTTCTTCTGCGTAGTACATGGTTTTGATCAATTAGTACCTACTTTTGGTCAGCGAAAATGGATTACTTCAGTTTTGGTCAACATTTGCAAAAATTGGTACCAGACCTAAAGTAAGATAGTACCAGCATTTGGTGTTTCAGTACCAGATATCAGGTCTTTAGTACCAACTCCGACGAACATAAAAAAACACCGAATTTTGGTCTCAAATGATGTTTATATGACTCATTCTCACTCTCACATTAGTTTCTATGAGATTTAAAATGTGTTTAATTAAGTTTAACCGCAAATTGGTGAAAACTCAACACACTAATGAAAAAGCACTACTAATACATTTCATCTCATTAAAAGACATACTTCATCTCATTGAATGATCATACATGACTACTCTAAATTCCCACTATATGTTTTAACTTCCACTATTTATCAACCAAATCATGCGTGAACGATCCACGTGGCATGGTAGACATGGAGGATTAAAGAAAATCACGATTACTAAACTGGTGCCAGTTTTGACAGAAAGAGTACCTCTTCTTCTTCTGCGTAGTACCTGTTTTTAATCAATTAGTACCTGCTTTTGGTCAGTGAAAATGGATTACTTAAGTTTTGGTCAACATTTGCAAAAAATTGGTACCAGACCTAGAGTAAGATAGTACCAGATTTTGGTGTTTTAGTACCAGATATCGGGTCTTTAATACCAACTCCGACGAACATAAAAAACACCAAATTTTGGTCTAAAATGATGTTTATATGACTCATTATCACTCTCACATTAGTTTCTATGAGATTTAAAATGTGTTTAATTAAGTTTAATCGCAAATTGGTCACGAACTCAACACACTAATGAAAAAACACTACTAATACACTCCATCTCATTAAAAGACACACTTCATCTCATTGAATGATCATACATGACTACTCCAAATTTTACCTATATATTTTATTTTCCACTATTTCTCAACCAAATCACGCGTGAACGATCCACGTGGCATGGGGGAAAATTTTCATTGTAGGGCTTGACTTTTTGTTATTAGGTCAACAATAAGCCCTAGATTTGTAACTTTTTCATTTGAAGGTTTCAATTTTAAGTTATTCTCAATATAAAGCATGCTTTTACATTCTACTTTTCAATTTAAGACTCCATATAAATTTGTATTATGATTTAGTTATGTAAACAACAATACATTTTTTAAAATTTATTTTTTAAGTACTTATATTAAATATCTTTAGTAAAATTATCTAATAAAATAATTATTTCATAATGTACGTTTCTGCAAAACCTTAATGAAATTTATTTTAAAAGTTAAAAAATAAATATTAACTTAATTTTAATCTAAATATGTGATAACATTAAAATACAAACTATTTAGAAAAATAGTTTTATTTTTTGTAAATGAACTTATAGAAAACATTATTTGTGAATAAAACTACCTACAATAGCATTTTTCGGGTATTAATTTTTTATATTCTTAATTTTTTCAAAAATATAAATTTTATTCACAAACAATATTTTCTAAAATTTTAATTAAAAAAATAAATTTATTTTTCAAAATAGTTTATATTTTAATGTTATCACCTATTTAGATTAAAATGAAACTATAATTTATTTTTTATCTTTTAAAATTAATATTTAAAATTTTTACTTTTTAACTTTCATAAATTTTAACTTTTAAACTTTCAACAAATAAATATTTAAAATTTTAGTCCTTGGCGCACGGGATTTCACAATAAATAATGTAATCTCGCCTTAGCGACCATTTATATTGAAATTATATTTCTTTTAGTGTTCTAAAATTTTCATAACATAATTCGTCGCGTTTTGCCTCTTATACTACGCAACATAAGTAAAAATTCGTGTTGCGAAGGCTATTAGAGTATAAAATTTTGTTTGTTAGAAATATCATATATTTGCATATAATAATATTGGGTTGTTAATTTTAAAAAATATTTTAGTAATATTATATGACACTAAATTTTAGAATAAAATAATATTGAGTATTATGATTAATAAAATGAGGGCGGTTTTATTTTAGCATGAAATGTCCAAATTTAAATGATATGAATTTCATTTAGTATGGATAAAATTGTATTTAATTTTGAAAATAAAGTAAGTGGTATGAATTTTATTTGGTATGGGTACGAAAGTCGAATTTTAGGTTGATTTGTTATAAGATCAAGATGATATAATTCTCAATTTTAAGCATATTCCTATAATAACTTGTCATAAGATAACTCATACACTATTTTAGGCATATTCCTACATATACATGTTCGGTTTTAGGCTTGAGAATCACCATAAACTATTTTAGGTTTTCTTTTTTCCCAAGTTACCATATACTTCTCTTACTCTTTCTTATTTAATTCATATAATAATTATTATAATAAATATGTATTATTTTTATTTTGAAATCTTTATAATTTTTTTATTTTTAATTTATTTTTGTATGTTAAAATAATCATATTTTAATGATCTTCGATTTGACATCTGTATTGCATATATAAAATAAAAAATAATTACGTCTATAAATATAAATGAAACTATATTTATTAAAAAAATAATTTCAACAATATGAATATAACATAAATTATTTTATAACAAAAATAATAAAAAACTAATTTAGTAATACACCATAAAATAATTATTTTAATGCGTTTTATCATATATTTGAAATAAAATAATAAAATTAAGTGCAAAAATATGGAACTCATTTTGAATTAATTATTACTTTGTAAGTTATTCATAATTTTATATATTCATTATACATAATTTTACAATATAAAAATAAATTATTTTAGTTTTTCTATTGTACAAATATTAATATATTTACGTACCCGTGTAGTACACATGTATCGTACTAGTTGATATATATTTCTATTGAAAACTAGATAGATCTTTGAATAAATAATTTTTAATAAAATTCAAATTATATAATTTAATTTTAAAAAATTAGCTGATAAATTTGATATAATAAATATGTATTCTTTTTATTTTTAAACCTTTATAATATTTTTATTTTTATTTTATTTTTGTATGTTAAAATAATCATAATTTAATGATCTTCAATTTGACATCCATATTGCATATATAAAATAAAAAATAATTACGTTTATCAATATAAATAAAACTATATTTATTAAAAAAATAATTTCAACAATATGAATACAACATAAATTATTTTATAACAAAAATAATAAAATTCTAATTCAGTAATACACCATAAAATAATTATTTTAATGCGTTTTATCATAGATTTTAAATAAATAATAAAATTAAGTGCAAGAATACGGACCTCATTTTGAATTGACTATTACTTT